AGAAGAGTTTCTGCATTTTCCCAGAATTACTAGCCATTTGTTTTGAGATCTTCTGTAGCAGGTTCTGCCTTGAATACACTACAAAATTTGATTCTGTTGTGTTTTATGTGTACTGAGCCCAAGCAAAAGCCTTCCGTCATAATGTCAGTGCCATTTTGCTCTTAGAGAATGTAACCTTCAGCTTGATGCTTTCTTGTAATGGCACTACTCTTGTTCATCCTTGTTTTGATGTTCTTTTGATGCAAAGTGTGTTTTCTGAATGAATGGGTTTTCTCCTTGTTTATAATTCAAATTGCTGAAGCCTATTTTCACTGGATTTTTAATTATATAGCATTTAATTCTAAGAGTTCATTTTCTTTGAGAAGAATCCTCAGAAGGCTTTTAAATACCAGGGTACCACTTTTTGTTCAGGAAGTCTCTGAGTCACAAAGGACTGCAGGAGACTGTGCTGAGAAGGTATCATTGTGTGCTTACCCTGATATCACACTGTTTCCTAAGTTTCTGTAATTGGTTAGTGATGCAGGCATGATGGATATGTGGTCTCACCTGGTATAGCTCCTTTATATCTCTATAGGCACAAAATGTATATGTCTTCATTCCTAGTGTCTTTTTTGGATCTCACTTTCTGCATTTCTTATTATATAACTGGAAGTCACTTATGAAAGGACAGACACTTAGGGTAATATCCTAGGAGAAATCACGGGCTGTGGCTGTATCGGTACACTGGGCAGGGCCAGGAGCAGTGGCATTGGTGACCCGTGGAATTTGGGTGTTAGCACACTCCAGGGCATGGCTCTGCCAGTGCCAGCCAGTGCTGTCTGCAGCTGGGCCTGGAGATGGGTCAGGGCAGCAGCATGAGCCAGGGACAATTCCAAGCAGGCAGATACGGATGAGAACTTCTCTTTGGGGAGTGAGCAGAAGGACAGAGTTTAGCCATATGGACATGGGCTGTGCCATAAAACTTGTGCTCAGGGGCAGGGAATTGGCCCTGAACTGCTGTATTTTCTATTCCAAGGCAGGCCTGTTGATTTCTGTGCCGCAGTGCCAGGCCCTAAGACAGAATGCATTTCCAGCTCTCTGTATACAGGACGTAATTTTAATGCTTGGCTCCTGCTGCAAAAAATGTCACAGTGAACTTCAAGAGGATTGTTTATGTCCCTAGAACCTTAAGCTGGAATAATGACTCTAATTTATTTATGCACATTTTGACAGCTTGTTATGTTTTATTCTGTAAAGCTAAATGTGGTCTCAATAACACCTCGGAGTTATTGCTACCAAGTAATGATGCCAGGGAGAGATAGGGATTTTTTGTCTCTGAGCAGGAAAGATCTTTTCCATTCTGTAAGGATTTAAAACTACTGTCCTTGTGTCTGTCTGTGTGTTTGAGAATGTACAGTGGAACTGAGGGGTGATGTGTCCTAGCTGCATAACTGAGTGGGAACAGATCGACTCTACATCAACACTGAATGCTTGAATAACCCAGAAACCAGTGACCTTCTCATGGGAGATGTCACACTCAGACAAGAGATGGGGAGTTCTGTCCTAGAGCAGAGACCTGTAAATGCTTGCTTGCTCTGTAATGTGACTCTGTTTGTTTTAGATCTGCTGAATGATACAGATTGGGTACCCCCTTAGCAGAAATTCAGTCACTTTCTCTATGGAGGTTTGAAAGACAAACCCTTTCTGGTCTGAAAGTGTTGTAAATTTCTGGGTGTGTTTTATGTACCCATAATTTTTTCACTGACTAATGTAATGCTTTAAGTTTGATAATATATTGACAGCTAATCAAGGTGCTCATAGGAGCATTGAATAGTTTTGTAAACAAGAAGAATATGATATTAGTGTGTAGAAGGCTGTCTTGATGAGGAGTTTAAATGAGAGAAAAAGAAAACAGTAAAACCAGAACACTGGTCACTGGATTCTGTATGATTGAATTTATTTTCCTATTGTCTACAGCAATATCTATACTATTAAAGAAAACTATGAGGAAGCATCCCAAAGCACCACATTGTCTACAGTTTAGATGGTACCTGACCATCTTGTCTTGGAGATAAAGAGCATTAAATAATATGAATGGGAAATGTTTGCAGACAGTAGCTGTAGTCCCAAAGAACTATCTTAGGCTTGTTCAATTGTCTAGTGCAGATACAGCTAATGCAAGCTTACTTCTATAGCATATACATGGGGAAGCTGTGTTGAAATGGGGCAGGGGAGAAAGAGTATGTTTAACCTAATCCAAGATATATGGGGATGACAGAAATCCATTAACTCTTAATGTTAACTCTTAATTAACACACACATTACTTCTTTATTCCTTCCTCAATATCTTCTATTGGCTCTTAACAGTAGTAGCACAAGAAAAAAAGCCATTCATGACCAGCCAATGTGAATCCCTGGAGCCTCAGTAGGGATTGCTGAGAGACAAAGCTGTAAATATGTCATGATGGACTGAAAAGGAAAAGGTACCACTCTAGGGACGAACTCAAAGTGTAAGTGTTGGCTCATGTTCACTAATCTGGGTAACAGGACAGACTGATCATTGCCTTTGAGCTTTAGTCTGTGTTTTAATGCATTTTTTAATACATTTTCTTAATGGACTACTCCAACAGCACAGTTTCCAGGGCTAAGTTCATTTATAGTCCACATGGAGAACATGAATAGTTACTGCTTCAGAAACAATAGGAGGATGTTACTCTGCTGCTGATATAGAGGCACTGATGAGAATGATTCTATTACCATTCAGTTACTTTCTCCTTAATCAAAGCTTTGAATAGGTTTATAATCCAATTGAAAGAGTTGTGGCCACACTGGTATTCATATGCAAAGTCATTCACCATCAAATTCCAGTGGTAGAAGTTTGGTTTTCTCATTCCTGCCCCGAGGGAATGATAAAGTCAATCTGACAACTGACCATCTCTGAAGTCCAAGGAAGGAGATCTGCTTGTACATGGAGTGTGAGCTGAATTCCCACCTTTTTTGGGTTGGCATTTCATATCAGGATGTGAATCTTGTATTGTGTATGTCTCTCAGGGATGGTGAGTTTATCAGGATGGCACTTGCATACAGTTCTGTGATCACTGTGATAGTTCCCTGGTCTCTAAAGTAATTTCCTGAAAAAAATAATATAAAAATCACAAGTGTTAGTAAGTTATTTTTAAGTAATCAAATGCAGCTGAAAAGATAGATATACAAGAACTTGGGCCAAATCTTGGCTGTAACCTTATGTCTGAGCTGTGCAGAATATGGCATACTCCACTATCCTTTCTGTGAGAAGGTAGAAATGGGTTCCATTTCCTGAAATGATTGTCATTCCTGTTGTTAGCAGAGGCAGAACTTCAAGATCATTGAAGAAATAAGCCATTAGAGTCTGATGTAAGTTAAGTTCTACCATTAGTGAGGTCTGCTGTTGTCATCCAGAGGCATTTTTCACTGTGGTATTTTAGCCTTGGCTCCTAGTCCTGGCCTAAAGTACCTGGTTTTTTTTCAGAAATGGCTGGTCCTGACACATAGTGAAGAATGCACAGCCTGTGTTTTGCCCTGAACTCTGTTTCATCTTGCAAAGTACACATAGTTAATCTCTTACCTGTCCTCTTTTCAGATAGAAGACACTGGCAACAAGTAGTTGATGGAGTTCCTGACAGCAGATGTTTCTTTTAATTTGGCTGCTATAGGGGTTTTTGATATACTAGCATGATTTTTTTTCTTGTCTGTGAATTCATGTGAAAATGAGTTATGGAGCTAAGGGCCTGGGCTGCATTAGGAAGTTGCTGCACTTTAAATTAATTATCTCTATATTCAAAAGTCCACCCACCAAATGCTTTCCTGTTTTATATACTATGGATGGGAGTTCTCATCTTCCTTCTTGCTCCAGAGAAACTGACCCTGCAGAACAAGGAGGTGATTAGTTTTCTGCCACATAAGCAGATACATTGTGGCAAACTTGAAAGCTCATATTTTCTAGCTTTTCCATTAATTTTATAGCTAGACAGGTAAAAATACAGGCTGCTTTCTATATACTCCTAGTCTCCAAATTGTGTTCATGGGTATTCTGAGCTACAGCCTACAATAACTTTTAACATTTTGCAGTGTATGGACAAATGAAAGTGGGAGATTGTGACTTTGACTTTTATAAGGATTTAGCACAAGGTTCTCAAGTTTAATTTGGGCTATATTTTGCTAACTTCTGCATATATGGAATAGCATCTTTCTCTGCAATGATCATACCTATAAAATTCTGTCAGAATCTGTCCTTCCTACTGGAGTGAGCTATTTCACACTGTATCTGATATTGTTTCCTTTTTATCTGTTGAGGTAGAGTGCTTTGCTGTATATCCTGATATCCCATGGCTCCCCTTTTGGAGCTCTGTTCACACATCTTGATTCCATCTGTATTCTTGAAGAGGCCTGCTAGGTGGAACCTGTGTCTGTCAAACACATGTCCCTTCTGGACAGCAGCCCTTTACGGGTCACGCTTTGAAACATCGCTAATTTGATTTCAAAGGGAGCTATTACAAAATGCCTTTTGTGCTATTAGGCCTCAGGAGAAGGACCTCAGTTGGACACAGTGAAACACTGCAACTGCTTTAGCTGTGGTGTTCCGTGTTGGAACAGATAAAAGAATCAGTTACGTCTTTGTCTTGGAGCACTGCACCTCTCCAGGAGAAGTCCCCTGATGTGCGAGGGGATGGCTGAATGTGTATTAAAAGGTCCAGGGGACAGAATCTTAGTGATCCACAGCATCCATCAGATACTGTTGAACAACCTCAGGAAATGAGTGGAAATCTGACTCTTGTTTGACTATCCTGAGTCCTGAGAATGGCGCAGTGGGTGCAGAGGGTTGCTGTACACATCTGTGCACTCCCTGGCAGTGCTTTGAAGATCTGTGTTGCAGCCTGTGGCTTTTTATGATGCAGTCATGTGCATTTTTAAGACTTAGAATTAGACACCTTTGTGCTTGAAGTCAAGCATGACTGTGACTCATTCAGCTGTCACTCTTACAGACTTGGTGTGAGAACCATATGGAAGGGAAGAAGACCCAAGATGCAAGTTTATGGATTGCAAGACAGGAGGCCAAACACCGAAACAGCATCTAACAGAAGTGCATACTGGGTCAAAACTTCCACTTCTATTTGGTCAAATCTCCAATATAAATTAAACCATTTTCTTGTGGCAGTGGCTTTTCCCATTGGTAAGTTGTGAATCTTCCCCCACAGCTAATTCACTTTTCAGTTAGTTACAATTGCTCATAGGCTGCACAATCTCTGAGCATATTAGAGCTGTAGCAGTAGTCTGTCTGGCATTTGTAAATAGGCAACATTGGGACTTTGTAATACTCTAACTCAGTGCATTAGTGTGCCAAAATAAAGGTCATTTCAATTTCATATTATGTCACGCAGTTTTGAAGTGACGTGTTTAATGATTTTTCTCCAGTAAATGAATGATAGCAGGTATTAAACTAATATGCTTTGATGATGTGCCCACAAAAAAGAGGCAAAATCTTTTCAAAAACATTAAACGAATATTTTACCAGAAAAAAGCCCACAACCCATAACAAAGATTGAAACTCCTACCCAAAGCTTCTGCAATGAAGAATATCAGACTTCTTTGCCCTTTCCAGACGACAATTTGCAGAAGTTTCACTGTAATTTATTTATATGTGTCCATCACTGCAGAGAGTGAGCCTGATCTTTTGATAGAGGCAGAAGAGCACAAAGGCTGCAATTTGAGCTTGTCACAGAAGCTGCATCACAAAGCTCATAACTGGACGACTAAAGGAGTGTAAAAACTGGTCTTTATGTGTATGAAGCCTATAATTGTGCATAGAGATTTTTAAAGTTTTGTCATTAAACAAAGCCTTCTTGACTTCCAACTCTGCATAGTATTCCAGGTAGTTTCTCTCTGCCATCTTTTTAGCAGGCCAAGGGCTCAAATAGGCACAAACTGGAGCACAGGAGGTGCTATCAGAACATCAGGAAACACTTTTTAATGGTGAGTGTGGTCATCCACAGATTGCCCAGGAAGGCTGTGAAGTCTCCATCCTTGGAGGTATTCAAAAGCCATCATAATGTGGTCTGGGCAACTTGCTTCAGGTAGCCCTTCTTGAGCAAGATGGTTGGGTCAGATGACCCCCAGAGGTCTCCTTCAATGCCAACCATTCTATGACTGATTCTGTGGCTACTTGATCAGGGCTGCTTGTTATTCAAAGGCTTAAAGGCATTGAACAAAATCTGTTACCCAGTTTTGGTTTTGGGAATGTTGCTTTTGGTGTTAGCAGTTGGTCATGTGCCACTTTTAAGAAGCTAAGAGTTCCTTCAGCACAGAATAGGTGAGAGAGTTGTTTTGATTTTGGTGGCTTCTTGATTCTTTTGAGTGTGCAGGAGGAAAAGTTGTACTGGAGCTTCCTCTCCTAAGAGGGAGTGTGAAGATTCCAGGAAGTAAGATAAACACTAATAAATGGCTGGTAGTGTGAACACTGGGGATATACACCTGACAGCAGTTTGTAACAAAAGCTTTATCAGCTGGTGCTTGCAAAAGTTGATTCATAATATTCTATGTTGTGTTTAGTAGTCAGAAGATGAGCTGGTCACACACCCAAGTCATGTCTTCTGTTTGGTCACTACTCCCATTGAAATCAAACTGATGATAAACTGTAGACCAGGAAGTCAATACTGATTGCAAAATAAATTATCTGTCCCCTTGGACATTCTGTCTGACCTCACTGAGCAACAGGAATAGGAAGATCTCAGGTAAAATTTATTAGGCTGCAATCCTAGAATGAGACAGCTAAATTAATCCAAATTAATTTGCTTTGGTGACACATTTTTCTGAATGGCACTTTAGGTACTCAAACTGCAAAAAGTCTGCAATGTTGCATACAGATGATAAACCTTCCTATGCTGTTCAACTGATCAATTGCTTTTTTGGGTCAGTGGTTATATGACATTATGTAATAGAGGACAGGTAAGTCCATATAAATAATAATTTAAAAACCAGAAAGAGATTGTGTACTTGCTGTTGGAAGTCCACTGGGTCAATGACAAAATTTAATAATACAACCATTCCTTGCCACTCTTCGTTGTTCTTACAACCTGTCCTAAAATTTTTTACTATCAATAATCATGACAAATATAATATGATATTCCTATTTTTCCAGTGCATGGGCATGAGCACTTGCATGAGCTTTGATGATGATAATACTTGGCTTCAATATTATTTTAAAAAATTTTGAATTGTTTCTAGTCATATCAAATTCAAGGCCAGAAGATAAACAAAATGGTTTCAGGAATACTTTTGATGCTGTGCTTAATGCATTCATAGTAATAGGAAAACAAAGTTGTTATTGTTTAAATGCATGTGCCATGGAACTGAGAAATATCTTAAGACAATAAAATGCTATGTCTTTGTTACTTTTTGACTGATAAAATACCAACAAATTTGGTCGAAGTCTTTTGAGCAGAGATAGCAGGATAGCACTACACTTCTCTTCCTTTGCCATGATTTCTGTATAGGTGCACACACATCATATCACTGGTTTTAATTGTCTCTGTTGTCTGTCAGGGCAAGTAAGGCTTCAGATCCCACTTTCCATTCCATGTGCTGTCATGGTGCCTCTGTGCTGGGTACTGTGGCTGCTCAGCCCCTGGCACTGGGACGGGGACACGAGGAATAGTGTGAGGGCTGGTGCCAGGGATGTCAGAGCCAGGACCAGCCTGGCACTCTGGGCTCAGGGGAACATCCCCCAGGACTGCAGCTGTGCTGTGGGACTGAGCACAGGTTGGATTGCAGGTGTACAGTAATGCTTGAGGGCTGGCTGTGCTGTCACAGTGTCGTGTCTTGTGTTTCACAAGAGAATTGTATGCAGTCTTTGGGCCTTTCATGTCTCGTGTTTTATCTCAAGACCCATCTCCTTTTGAAAAGATATTTAAAAGATTCTAATATGTATCTGGGTAGGATTTTATTCCTAGTAGGAGAAAAAATTTTCAGACCTTGTATGCAAATTTTTGGAAAGAGGGACCACACTGTTACATAAACTTGGAGCATGAGAAATGCGAATATGTTCTGTAAATGATGCGTTTGCTTGAATGAGTGATCACAACCAACCAATGCATCTTAATTGTTTTATTTTCTTTAGAGTAATCTTGCATTACTACAAGAAATAATAAGAACATAATGGAAACAGTCTCCAAACTTTATTGTTGAAGTTTAAGACTTTAATGAGAATATATACAGACAGTTACTGTCATAAAATCAAAGCTAGTTCTTCCATAATAACCAAAACTTTGCCAAAAATCTGGAGATCCTATATCTATACTAACGGCTTAAAAGAATAATGGTGGGAAAATACTCTTAATTACTTGCCTGTAAAAATATGAGTCGCAGGCAAAAAAAAAAGTGTAAATTCTCTCTGTTTTTACTTTTGACTTTTGCTGTTATGTAGAACTACTACCAAGTTGGCGTTTTATTTTAAAAATTATTTTTTTTTAGAAGGGACTCCCCAAATTTTCTAGCTTGCATTAAATCTCTGCTTTCCTCTCCTCCTTAGTGGTTCTTTTAAATTCCAAGATGCTATATACTGCCCCTGGCAGAAGTGTGTATCTCCCAAGAGAAAAGGCAGTGCACATTCCTTCTTACTTGATCTACATGGGAGCAATTGTGGCATTGGGATACATATCTAAGAAAATAATTCAGGTGATTTTGGAGTGTTTGGGGTGTTTTTGTTATACAGAGTTGGTTTCAGTACATTGTAAGAGGAAGAGGCTGTTTTTAGTATTCAAGGAGGGATGACAGATTGGAAGTTATGTTTGGGATGGGCTCTTGTTGCTACTGAAAATAACTGTGGAGTCTCCAGGGAGTCTATTCAACTCTGCCATATCTATGTTAAAAAGAAAACACGTCAATTGTACTGAAGAACTTGGATGAGTTTCATAAAACCACTTCAGTGTGACTTAGTTTTTTATCAGTTTTAAAGAGTGGTATACCCTTTTGAGACAGGATAGGGCAATGAAAACTAAATAAACCACTCTTGTATTCAGAATGAAGGGAAAAAAGTGGATTAGGGGGAACATGGAAAAATATGCTGTAAATAAGTTTTTCTGCATGTAATATCTGCAGTGCTGGCCTTGGTGACCAGCTTTCCATTGTCATGCTCTGTGGGCTATAAGTATCCATTATGTGAGACAGCAAAGAAGACTCAGACTCAGGTGTGGGTTATATACAAATACTCAGTAAACTCCCAGAGGAAGGGAGTTTCCCAGCCCAGGTCAAAGAATCCTCAGCCACTAAGCAGCTGCTTCACTTAATTGTTCCATACTTTTCTTGGCCGAAATATTTTTCCCTGCATTGGAAAGTGCACCTTTAAGATAACTAATGAAAATGATTTTTAAGATGCTTTATTTGCCCTTGACAGAAAAACCTCTCTATTGAAAGACATTGTGTCACAAAATGGGAGCTGTGGGTTAGGTTTGGTCATGCTGCTCCTAACTTTTCCCTGCATGACTGCATTGTAGCTTGAATTGATCATCACAAACAAACTGAAGCTGTTAGTTCATTTAATTGTCAGTTCTGTGTCTGTGCAGTAAGACAGTCAATGATTCTTCTGAAATGACTGCTGCTACATCACATAGCTGCTCACGTGGCCATTGGATGTGTATTGATGGGGCTAATGGAGTCATTGAGCCAAGCTCACATCTAGCAACGTCACAGCTCTCCAGATATTGGCCATGATGGTGATTTGTCCTGCACAGCGTCCTGAAAGCCCAGGCACTGTCAGAATCTAATGTACTGGTTTGGGTGATAATAGCTGCAAGGCTGAGGAGGCTACATGAAACTTGAAAGAGGACAGTAAACAGCAAAACCAATGGTTTTGATGGTGGTGCTAGATGCACAGGCTATCTTTACAGCAATTTAGATGCAGCATCACTTGGGATACCTTAAAGTGTGAATTTAGTAAGGATTTTTAAAATATTGAGCTTAACAATATTATTTTAATTAAAAAAGAACTTTACAATGAACCTTGCTGGCCATTCTGAACCTAGCAAACATAGATGATAATTTTTTTATGAAACAGATGAGAGGGGAGTTTTGATGAATGTTAGAAAGACCAGCAGCAATCTTAGAAGTTAGTCTAGGGAAAATTTAATTTGCCCTGAGTGCAGCAATAGACCTGTTACTCATCTGAAAACATCTTGTAGAAAACAGCTGTTAGGTCACTAGTTCACCTCACCCTAAAGATAGAATTTCTCTTAACTATATCCTCTCTTGAGATGTTTTAATGTTATTTTGAAAGCTAATATTAATTTAAACCTCTTTTCCCTATTTTGCAACTCTAAGGCTGCTGTTAATAAACTCTGCCTCTTGGATGTTTTGCAGCATTTGACTCACCCCTTCTGATTGCTGACTACCTTGGCTATGTCTGAGGTATTGATATAGAAATGAAAACCTGTGTATTCACTAGTAACCCTCCTCTACCTCCTTTGCATCTAAAGAAAATTGCCTTTTTTTAATAGCTTATTTTTCTTCCAAGATTGCTCTTTCTTTGCCAATCACTTTCCTTAAAAATGTCTTTGGGACTTACCCGGGGGACCATAATGATAATTTTCATCAAAGAACAAGAAAGCAGAACAACCTGTGGCATCAGAGAATTATTCCTCACATGATGGGATTCATGCAACGTCTCAGAATAACTAATTTTTTCAGAGTAGGGGTATTTGATTGTTATTTACTTTGATAATCATTCCATCATTCTAAGAATTCTTTTAGAAAACAGGATTCTGTGTATAAACTGAAAACTTCATATTTCTGAGGGGGAGGTCAGTGATGATACTTGTGTTGTACAAATGAGCTGGGATAATGATAAGTAATTTGGAACCACCTAGCACTGTGTGAACTAGCCAGAGGAACGCGCCTGGGGTGTATTAGGGAGAAATTATACAGTTGCATATTTTTTTTATGCTGAGATCACCTATGAAGCCTTGACTAAGAATTAGTTCTTTCTCAGAATGAAAGAGATAAAAAAGGTGTGTTCCATTGGGCAGCACTGGAGCAGCACTTAGCTGATGAAGGTGCTCTAAGCCTAAGGAGATGTTGGGAGTTAGTCTGGTTTCCCTGCTGCTTACTGTACTGAAGCAAGACCATTATAGGACCAATGCAGTGTATCCATGGGAACACAGAACACAACTTCAAGAAGCTCCTAAGAAAGAAACTGTCTTTTTTTATCTTTTAAAGTAATTTTACAAGTAGTATTTGCAGAACTTAACAAATGGTCTAAAAATGCTACTTTATTAATATACCTAGGGAGCAATAGGTATGTAATCATACTTAGATAGGATGTTACATCTGGCTCACCCAAATCAGGATTATTTTGTAAGAATAAGGTTTGATAATATGAGTAAGTATTTTCAGGATCAGATTGCACTCTGCATTGGAAATTTCTCAAAGTTAGTGGTTCCTCCAGCTAGTCATTCACTGCCAGGAAAGCCGTCTATTGATTATTATTGTATATTAATGGATCTATCAGATATATATTTGGCAGGTTTCTTGGTTAAATTTTCTTTATTGATTTTTCCCACGGGTAAATGAGCTGCAGAAGTGGAAATAGGCAGTCCTCTTCTGCTAGATCTGGGTTTTTAAATGTATTTTCAAAATATCAGCTCTATTACAGGAGCTTTTGGAACAAAAATTTGGATTCCAATAATATAGTGGATTTCAAGACACTTTATTATGTAAGTATTAACTCAGAAAACAGATGGATGGACTATGTCAAGAATCCTAGCATGTAGGGAATCATAGGAGGCCAAATTTCCAGCAAAATTCTAAATATCTGTCTTCAGAAATGTCTGCGAAGAAGTCAAAACTGTATGCAAATCATACTGCACATTTTCAGCTACTGCTGTTGTGTGTGCAAATGGAAGTTGAGGAAACATAAGTTTAGTAATTTCCTTTAAATTGATTGTGCCAGTATCTGAGAGGTGATTGGATGAATTTATCAGCCATTAACTGAAACATAGCTACACTCACTGAACTGAGTTTCATTCATTGAAGCTGTTGGGGCACATTTAATGCCTTTTTGCTTTGTGTAAAGATGGCAATAAATTTTTCACTTTTGCTAATATTTATATCAAGCTTCAAAGTTAACTCAAGTGATTACTTTGATGGAGGAGAAGGTTTTATGCATTCAACCAAACCCGCTCTTTTTTCTTACATAAACATTTTTTATGACAGGTTTATTTTTGATAGCACCTTGTATGAAGACATTGCCTTCAGGAAGAAACATTGGAATTTTAGGCTTGTTTGAAATAAATGTATATGGATATGTTATATGCCATGACTATGCAGTTGGATCAAATGGACTTGCAATTATAATGGACTAAACCTGCAATAAAATTCTCTAATATTTCAGTGGCCATGATTGCATGTGGAGCTGCTTCAGAATGAAGCTCATGATCTTGGACCTCTTTTCTGAATATATGTATGAAGATGCTTCATAAAACAAATCATAGAGGACTTCTTACAGTGTATGGAATTGCACAAGGATAAGATGTAATTTAACTATGCATGTGTACCAGGATTTGCATGATTAATTTTTACTGCAGTTAAATCTGATGGTAAAGCTAACCTGTGGATCAAACAATAATTGCAATAAGGGGGGAAATTCATGCTGTGTTTTTGCTACCTTGTCCTGCAATAAGATAAAATATCAAATGGACAATATTTGCAAAGTTACTGTCACTTCTCATCGGTCTATTATATTTTGATTATAAACCTAAGAAATTTAAACTTGAGGTAACAATTTTTTGGCATTAAAAACTTGGTGTTTACTTCTCAGTAATTGATCCAGAATAAAGTATAATTTTTAAATGCTAGAGAATTAGAGCAGTTTTTCAGAATGTGTGAATTCATTAACTTCTGTTTTGGAAGCACTTGTCAGAATCACTGTTTTTTTACACAATCAGTTGCTACATAAAGGCAAAACAGGTTCTAAAAATTAGCCTAGTTGTTACCTTGCAAGAATTGTTACAGCTGGTTATCTTTCTGCCCACACTATGAACTTCAGTATCCTACTTTTCACACAAGTATTTTATATAAATTTTCAGACAATGGGTGCAATGATTCAAGGCTTGCTGCCTTTATTTGAAAGTTAATTTGGATGAAAGTAAGGTTTGCATTTAAAGTACAAAAGCTTTTCCTGTATAAGTGCATGTGTGGACAGTTCTAATTCAGGAATCAAAATGTCTTCTGGTTTCACTTAATCTACTTTTAATAGTAGTGTTTAGCTTAATCCTTCATTGAATTGGAGCGGGTCTACATACCAGTCCACCTCTAAATTATGTTGGAAAGGGAGTAGCTTTTCTGAATAACTACTATTAATTTTAGAAATATTTTTGCAACTATTTAGGTCTAAGTTTGATCTCGGCATGCATTGACATGTACTGCAGCCTTTCAAATCTCAAGTCTAAATTTTTCAACTCATCAAATAACAGGCTGCAATTTAAATGCTCAGAAAACTGGGCTCTAAAACAGAATTGAAGTAGTATTGAGTATTTGTGACTAACGTGTAACTTAGATTTGTGGCTTTTACCAGTCTCAAGCTACAATTGGTTCTCTGTTGCTTATGGGTATAGTAATAGCAGCATTTAACCAAAAAAGAGGCAGTGATGATGGTCATTAATTGAACAAATTGAACTATTGATTGTTTCGATAGAGGAAATAAAGGCATATGCACAAATCCCATCAACCACTTACATGGTGCTATGACTTAGGAATAATTCCTTGTGTAAAGACTTAAGGCTGTCAGCTCTAAGGAGCAAGTCTTGTTATCTCCAAGTGTCTGAACTGTGCTTAATCAACTAGAAATGTTATATGATTGAGAACTTTAAACATAATTGTAAAACATTATAAAAACATCTTTTTGGCATTTACATCAGTAGATTCTGAGCGTTAAAAATAAAATCTTTGCGTTTAGTCTTTTGGGGAACTCAAGTAATTATTTTTTCATTCTTTATTTATTTTTAAATGATCATTTAAGCTTCTTATGCAGTTTTTAGAAAGGCTGATGTGCATACCTGGGTTACTCTGAAGGTCAAATACTCTGCATATTGAACATTTCAAGCTGCTGTCCTGCTTAAGTTCCAAATCATTAGCTTAGCAAATGGGAGCCTAAATATAAGCAAAGTCAATAGGGAGGAAAAAAATCCACTGCATAGTATGTCTAGTGATAGAAAAAGCTACAGAATGCAACCATAAATTTTTAATTCAACATTCTTTAATTTAAAAAAAAAACAAACCCACACCACCTCCACTCCCCTCCCCCCTGACAAGCTTGCAAAAACTAGGTCTGAATTCCCAGTGGGAATAATGAGCAACAGCAAGAGTGAATGCTGGGAGAGTAGAATGCAATTGTATTAGTCTCCATCACAATGGGAGGTAAACCCAAATCATTTATAAAACGTAAATGCTGGCAGAACACAGGGAGCTCAGAGCACCACACTGCAGGTGTGATTTATGAGGCTAGGGACTGGCTATAAATCAAACCCTTTTGTTTTAAATAGTAGTGCTTCAACGCAGGAGATCAGTTTACATGTAGAGGAAATGATGAAAAAAATGCAGTACATTGCATCCCAAGAATATTAGAGAATCAGCTTTACAATGTGACTATCAGAACCACGCTCAGACAATGGGTATCTGATGTGCAATTTAACGAATGCTCCCACTGCTGAACAGAGTGCCCTAATCTAGCAACTCAGGTTTGTTTCAAATGTATTAATCATGGGATCTATTTTGTGAGACCAGCTGTTAAAATCGTTGCACTTAGGATCAGGAATACATTGGCTATTCCTGTTAACTAGCTAGAGGTGTCCTTTCATGCCACCAAAAGCCCTGCCTGTTTCTATGTTATCTGTATTTTTCCTTAATTCTAAAGGTTGATGGGTCTCATTATTTAGTGGCCTTGTCCTATGGAAATGGGTGAATAAAACAATTAATTCCTAAGGATTCAAATAGAGAGTAGGCATCCTGTGAAGTTCTGTTCAATTACAGGAAAATGCGTGTCTGGCAAGGAAAAGACCTCTTCTCCCTCAATTGGTTATATAATTATCAAATGGAAGAAATTTTAAAGGTAATGAGCAAAGTGATTTCTTCTGCTCTGCTTCCTGGATCTGCCAGAGTTTATCTTGGCTGCATATTTTGCATTCATTTTACATGCATGCCACTAGAGCCTATGCTATATGCATAAAAGTACACTTTATGTATCATGCAATGTGGGCCAGAGAAGCACTTTAAAAAGCTGAGAGAACGAAAGGCCTACATAAAGGTAGGTACAATGGTTACATAAGTTTTCAAAGAAATTTATAGTGAAATATAAGCTGCATATGTTGCACTTGTGCATATCCTGACCATTTGATTTGATGGTCTTATCAGAGAATTGTAGAATGGCCTGAGTTGGAAGGGATCTTAAAGATCATCCAGTTCCAACCTGCCTGCCATGGGTAGGGACACCTTTTAATAGACCAGGTTGCTCAGAGCTCTGTCCAACCTGACTTGAAATGCTTCCAGGAATGAGGCATCCACAACTTCCCTAGGCAACCTGTTACAGCACCTCAACCACCCTCACAGTAAAGAATCCCTTCCTCAATCTAATCTAAATCTACTTTGAAGTCATTCCCTCATGTTCTGTCACTATACGTCCTTGTAAAAAGTGCCTCTCCATCTTTCTTGTCTTGGGGGTTGCCCTGACCTGGGTGTAGAACCTTGCACTTGGTGATGTTAAACCTCATGAGATTCACTAATGATTTAGCCATGTGAATGCATGAAATTGCACTGATAAGCAGAGTGCCTTTATGCAAGCAAGGAGTCAAGAGACATTCTGCATTGAAATGCTTTATTACTTTGGAAGAGTCCAAACTGTACACACAATGGAAACACGTGCACAATTTCCATGATTTTTTGGAGGTTCTGGTGTTGATAAAGGCAATATCAGCTATTGCTGGAGGCATTAATATCAATTGCTTGAGAGAGGAAAGTATAATTTTGCTGAAATAATTGATTTTTTTTTCCTTATTTATTATAAAAACACATCTAGTGCCACAAATTTATAGGGCACTCTATAAATGTAAAAACATATTCCCTGCTCAGTAGACCTTGCAGTCTAAATTAGGCCAATATATGAAAAAGATATATTGATGATGAGCAGAGAAAAGAAACACATGACTAAAATTACTTTTACCAATTTCTTTCCAGCTGATAATGGGCCAGACTTTTAAAGGTATTTGGCCTTCAGTTTTCTGAAGATTAAAGTGCTTAAGTGTCTTTAAAAATGCAGTAATTTTACATGTAAAATCTAATGTACCACAAAAAAACACATTATGTGGGAGTTGAGCAAAAGTGGCTTTGTGTTTTATGAATCTTACATTGTCCTGGACGCTAGAGTCAGTTTGGAGACATAGCCTTGAAAAAGGCCTGCCCTAGTTATGTAGTCCTGTCAGGTTGCAATGCTATCTATAATCTTTACAAAAATTTGCTTTGTGACTGGATTCCTGAAAACTCTTTCTATCTTTGTTTTTTTTTCTTCTTTTTTTTTTTTTTTTTTTTTTTTTTTTTTTTTTTTTATTTTTTTTTTTTTTTTTTGCAAGACAAACACTGTCTCCTTTCTTTGTCTACTGCAGTCTGTGAGAGAAATAGTTTTGTGGGTCAGAAGCAGTGTTTTAGAAAGCATTTGTGCAAACTTTCCTGCCTTTTAGACAAGTAAGTCACTCAAGGGACCTTGTTGCAACACTCAGGGAAATATATAATTAAAGCTGGTTTAAACATTGAGTTTCTTTACCATTATAAAGGTTAAATACATGAAAAAGCAAAAGAACATTTATATAGCAGAAGTGATAATGAAGGGTTTACATCTGCAGGCTCCATGAACAGGGGAGGTTGTGGCTTTTCCTGTGTAGAGTCATCAGGAATGGATGGTAATTACCAAGTTCAAAGCCTATTGTCTTCTCTAAAAAGCCAACTTGTTTTTTTGGGGTTGTTTTAGAATGACGTGGTGTCTGATGGCTCTATTCCTTTTATAGGACTTCTTGGTATGCACTGAATTCTGACCAAGGATGGAAAGTAACTTTTGTGAACATTTTAACAGAATGATGTGTAATATGTCTAGCAAAGGTTGAAGGCTGATAATGGTGACTGATGGAGTACTACAGAGAAAAGAAATCTGAACACTGCTGTCTGATGAAGCTAAGGGGGGAGTGAGGTAATAAGAGGTTTCATTGCCCAGTTGGGGTTGACAGAAGGCAAGATGATTTTGCTCCTCACATTGTGCTCAGAGGATGGGGGGCAGTGTATGTTTTACATACATGCAATAGGTGATGGGAGAGACTTGTTCAGTGATGTAGGAGGTGATCCATACAAAGGTCTCCTGCAAAGCTGATGAATACTTTTTCCTATTGTGGGGGCTGACACATTGAATGCCTCCTGCAAATCTTGAGTCCAGCCTTGATGTGTTTTGCTTGGTGTATAATCTCATTAAGCCTATGGGTATGGCACCAATGTAAAATCACAGGAGAAGTTTTTTTGTGTTCTGTAGCTGGCAAAGGGAATGTCCTGGACATTTAGAATTTATTCTAATGTTGTGGTTACAATTTCTGGTAGGTGTTGGCTTGCACAACCTATTTCAAAATGTCTGCTGCAATGGCTGCAAGCACAGAATGTTCCAGAGGAGCTTAGATACACCTGCTGTCTGTGGGCAGGGTGTGTAGTATAAAGAGGGTAATTCATGACCTTTGTTTCTTAAACCATACCCTTCCACATAGGAAGCTCAAGTAGGTCACGTACTGAAGGGAGCCAGGAAATGCACATGCATATGTGATGTGAATCTGATAGCCTGTCTAGTAACCAGGAGTGGCCACAGATGTGCATCCCAGTTTGGCAGATGTGTTTACACATTTTCTGAGATGTTGCAGATATAAAGTGTATATCAGAGCTTACAATCTGACCTTAAAAAGTAGATGCCTTTAAAGATTCTAGTATTCAAGTTCTTTGTGATACAAATTAGTTTTCCAACTTAATCAGTGTTTGTGACTTGATTCAACAGAGCACTAAAAATGTACTTTTGGCAATCGCCATTCAGCAAAATTTTAAACTTTAAATACATGCTGTGGGAACAGAGCTAAAAATTAAATTTGGGTTTACATGCGTTGCAAAACGCGGTTTTGACTTTGAGCCTCTGAATGGGAAAATTAGTCATGAAATTTTGGTTCATAGTGTGAGATTTCTCCTTTCTTACTCAGGAGGGAATCAGCATTAGAGGTGTTGCTGGAAACCACAGCTACCGGTGAACAGTTAGCAGGATGTTTTAGCATCCCTTTTGAAATAAAAGCTAAACATGTGAGTAGGTATAAATAAAGCAGAAACAGGGTTTTTAAAAAACATTTTGATATTAAAAGAAATGTTGTTGAAGACTGACATTTCAGTTTCAAAATTAAGTGAAAAATTTGTAATTCAGAAAGTGTGCTGTCATTTGCAGCCCTCAGGGTCCATATGCCTGCAGACAGACGCTCCTTTTTTAAAGTTATTTTTCCAAGATCTTGAGTTTGTAAAAATATAAAATAAATGAACAAATAAAGGCACACATGTGTTTTGATATGCTTCACTCTTTTTTCTGGTATTACCCTGTAGGATGCAATAAAGACTAGAATGGAATCAGACTAAAGGGATCAGAAGTATCAGAGATAAAGTCCTTTATTCTTATTAGAAATATAGACCTGAATCAGCGCTTTGGAGGATGCCCTGCTATTGGACCCTAATGCAAGGTAGAAATGCCATCTTCAGCTCTGCTGCTGTTGGAGTTCTGGAATGTCTGCTCCAGAAAGTTGTTTGTGGCTGAACACAGGAACTCATTTTGCTTCAAGGTGCCATTGTCACCAGCAGTATCTTGCTACCTCCCCTGACACCTGCAGACCAGAGTCATTACCAGCTCCTAGCCAGGAGCAAACTGGAGAACCTGGTCATCCTTATCTGCTCTCAAAAACGTGCACTGTTAAGAATGTCACAGAGTTGGTAACTTGCTGATGTGACTCAAATGCTCCATCCTGACATCTGCAGATGGCTCCTGAATTTTTAAGCATTTGTATGCTTCTCTTTA